TCTAAAAGAAAATATGAATAAGACTTGTACCGGTATTTGTTTTGTCAAATAAAATGTTTATCTTATCTTGTGGTTTACAAAAGTTGATACTTTGATATTAACTTTGTGAGATCACAAGATGACATAAATACATGCTATCATGGTTATTTGACAAGGAAGACAAGTTTCCTCCATGTATTTTTATTTTTTCATTTCTCAAAATATTATGAAAATGATCACACCACTTAACTTGATTTAAAAAAAAACTACAGTTCTAATGATTGTTAACAATAGCCAAATATTACATCATAACAATACATTATTGCCCACTCACATAGTAATCTCTACTACCATCCAATGAGTGAGTGAGTATGGTTTTATGCCGCTTTTGGCAATATTCCAGCAATATCAGGGCGGGTACTACCATCCAATATATGAATTAATATGATTAATAATCAAGAAAACATTACATGGTATTTGCTTGCACAAAAGAAATTATTTTGTTTTAAAAGTTTCAAAACATGTTAGTGTACATAAAACCTGATGGATTTCACAATTAAACAAACAAACAAACGGAATAAATGAGTTATGATTGTAATACCCATGGGAATTACACAACATTCATAATTTTTGTTTTGTTTTCAATAATCTCAATCTCTGTTTATGAATTTGAAATATCTTTATAGACTGTTAAAGATTTATCTGTTTCTGTATGTTACATAAAGACCACACGTAGAGTGAACATATACTGGCCATTAATAAGTTGGGTTTTTGTTCATTTCAAGACATTATTATTTTGGTACAGAAAAGTAAGTATTATTTTGGTAAAAATATTGTTTACAAAATTGTAGATAAAAGAGTATTTCACTTTAAATATTTCGACACTCTTAATGTAATGATTCAGTTGAAATAGTAAGCCTCATGATATCTAATCTGTCAACATTGACAACTAAAATAACTACTGTTCACAATCACAGCAGCACTGGTAGATCTAGAGATCTAATATTTTATTGGAATGTATTTGAGTCATTACAGTTTACATCAAATACACAACTAATGCAAAATTCTGATTTTGAAATTATGATTGGAAATTCTTAATAGGTTACAATAAGATCAATAAATATTTCAAGTGGTTTCTGACATCTATCTACACATGGTCAAAGGTCAATATTTTCAACTTGACAAAAACCCAGCTGCCTTCAAATACAACTCGCAAAGTTATTCAGACTCACTCCTTGACTAAAACATATAAATAAATAGTTTGGGTTAATGGTGTGTAAACAATGAATTATTAGATCCCCGGGTCCGAAGGACCAAGGTGAGCTTATGCCATACCATGGCGTCCGTCTTCCGTCGGTCCATCTGTCGTCTGTTCGTCAACAATTTATTCAAACAACTTCTTCTTTTGAACCACTAATTGGAAATTAAAGAAATTTGACTGGAAGCATCCCTAGGTGGTGGGAATTCAAAATTTTACAAATGGAGGGGCTGACCTCCCCAGGGGCGGGGCCAAATACGAGTAATTTGGCTATATTGCTTTAAACGACTTCTTCTCTGGAACTAAGAGATAGATATCAACCATATTTGGTTGGAAGCATTCTCCAGTGGTAAGGATACAAAATTGTACAAATGGTGGGTCTGACCGAGCTGAGGGGCGGGGCCAAATAGGAGTAATTTGGCGATATTGCTTTAAGCGACTTCTTCTCTGGAACTAAGAGATCGATATCAACCATATTTGGTTGGAAGCATTCTCTGGTGGTGAGAATTCAAAATTGTGCAAATTGAGGGGCTGAGGGGCGGGGCCAAATAGGAGCAATTTGGGGTTATTGTTTTAAATGGTCCAATGGTGGGGATTCAAATTGGAGAAATGGAGGGTCTGAGCCCTACCCCTACATCCGCGGACTAAGGGGCTGGGCTAAAGAAGGGTTTATAACTTAGACACAGTTAAGATCCCCACCGTATAACCATATGTACAATTGAGAGTATAATGAGAGGAATGCACATATGCTACCAGGACTGGCCCTTCTTTTCATCTGTCCGACACTCCTAAAGGAGTTAGAACCTTCACCATAACATGCACACCGATATTATCCACACCCAATAATGAACAGATACATTGTTTACATTTGTTTGTTATGAAGAGAATAATACCTTTAATCTTCAGATCTTTATGCTGCATTTGTATCTAGAGAAGTACACGTTCATGCTGTCAGATTTGCCATCCACCCATTTTAAATGCTGACAGAGTCAAAATTACGAAATATTTGCAGTATTATATACATGTACAGTGCAAATGTATATTTTGTCATGATTGCATAAATATCCAGGTGAGCGATACAGGCCCTATTGTTCTTTACACGAATCCTGTTGGATTTGTATTAAGTCTGTGTTCAGCTATTATAAACTGCACTGGGAGTTACCAGGATGTTTGAAATTGATATCACATCAAAACAGCCAGACTCACTTGATAAATTTGTATCAGTAAGGAGGCCAGATAATAGTAGAATATTTTGTCAATGATAAGAACAAGAATAATGTTCAATACGATAAATGTTGGAATGGTCAAATTGTCACAGGTTATCCCAATCGCGTGCCTGTTGACATCACCATACGTATCATGTGCTATCCAGCCTCGCTTTGAAACCGGAAGAAGAGAATTGTGAAAAAGGTCAATTGGCATAGGATTTTTTGTTTCAAACTGTACTACGTTGGACTTTTGTTTTCTCCAATGGAAGTTATGTCATTGACCTGGATGTTATCGGTTTGTTTTTAACGTAGCTAGAGGCATGTGACTTTGTTTTTAACGTAGCTGGAGGCATGTGACTTTGTTTTTAACGTAGCTGGAGGCATGTGACTTTGTTTTACTTCACTGGGCATGTGTTTTACTGAACCAGAAGTGGTGCCATAAAATAAGAGCTAAACTGGAAACTATAAGCTAGAGGCATACGACTAATTTCTTCTGCATTTAACAACATTAGGGATCAAAGATGAAAAAAGGTAGATATTGTTGAGGTCAGCTGTCACGTGATTTGGTAAAGCCAAAATGGTATTAATGCATGTGCCACGGGTCTAATCCTATTATTCTCCCCTGCCATTTGCCCCCGGGTCAATTCCCCCCTCCACCAAAAAGAACATTGGAAAAGTAAGGTAAACATTTTCACATGTTCATATTTCATATGTTAATAATGTAACAATTGATACTTTATCGATGATACCTGATTTCATAATTTAATATTTCACACTTTTTTCTAGACTTCATATTTTAAAACAACAGATTATGAACAATTGCCCTCAAGAAATCTAAAATGTGCACGTACTCAAAATCTTCTTCAACACGGGCAAACCATTTGGAGGAGTCTCACAAGATTTTCCTGTTGGGAGGGGCAGTTTGACCAGAAATCATCTGCACCATCGGCACTTCGTTGAGGGCCTTCTGAATGACACCAATGAAGGTCCAGATATTTGAGTGACAAGCCTGGACATTTGACTGCATTGTTTATTCTTGGTAGGACTAACTGGACCATTTTTTTGTATGGGATTATTATTAGTACGGAGTGAGAAGCCTGCATGTGCATTGCTATATACTGGTCCTAATCCAATTTGTTAGTTGTTTGTAGTAAACCATGTTAATTTATACTAATGAAAAGCCAATGCCTTATCTACTGGTCCATATCCAATCCAAGACTATTCACAAGTAAATTAATTTCAAGGTAGACACAATTTGTGACGCTTGCTTGACAAAGGGGTATAAGGATCTATAGCTAAACATTGCCTTTACAGTATATAAAGAAGTTAATCCATAAATTATGTCTACTTTATCTTCCATCAACTTCTAAGTATGCCTATCAAACAAATTAATTTCAGCCTATTATTGGTTTGTTGTTTTTAGTAAACCTTTCCTTTGTGGTTCTTTTTGGTGGAGGGGGGAAATGACCAAGGGCCGAATTGACCCGTTGGGCAATTGGCTGGGGGGTGGGGAGGGTGGTGGGGAGGGGGATGCCATGTTCAGGGTTTACTCTAGGAATTTTCTGACATGGGTCCTTTATGTGAAAATAAAGGTACACCCACACTTGCCCATACAGCACAATGTTAAAATGCCTCATTTTATTTGTGCCCCCCCCCCCCCCCCCCCCCCCCCCCCACACACACACACCTATCCCTGCATGTTTCACATGTTTTGGGGAATTCATGAAAAGGTACAGATGCCTGTGCTTTTTTACTTGTAATGCAAACACCTGTCTGGTTTGATATGGCAGACTGGCGTTTAATTGCAAAATATATAGAGGTTTTGACGCAAGTATATTTGGGGATGGTAAATATCCTGCATTAGGAATAAACATTGTATTTAGCGAGCCAATATAGTTCCAACTTGAATCTGTTTCTTATACAGTGGCGAAGCAACATATACGCAAAACAACAATTGTTTTTACTTGCATTTTGTGGCAACGTTGTTGACAGTCGGCCTGTCCTGTCATAATGTTAAGAAGTGCAATCAGATGTACACACAGCGACAAAACGAAACAAGGTAACAATTCAAACATATTTTGGACAAATCCAACTATTTTAATTTGTGGAAAAGGTTTCAAGCCGCAGAGGTCGACGAGCACAGATATGGCTACTGATCCCGCTTGGCTAGGCCTAGTGCCCTCGCAAAATCGTTTCGAAATTCATATCTCCAAAGTTGCCAAAGCCTATAAAATGCCTTATCCTCATCACAGTTAGACACTGATTTTCAGTATATTAGACTGTCCTTTTGATAATGATAGCAATTATCCCTGTAGTTTATCCAGATTCCCGATGGATAATTCTGACTCTATTGCCGAATGACAAGGGCGACGCCATGTTTGTTTATAAACACGGAAAGTAGTCCCTACTTGACCTTTGATATTTGCACCCCCTTCCGCCTATGACCCCAACGGATATTGTTTTTATCTGTTGGCTTTATCCTGCCGAGAAGCCTACCCATTATATGATAAAATTTTACATCAGATATACCTTCATTTTCTCTCAATTTTTTTAAGGCCCTTGGTTCTTTTGATTTGAATTCCATGCGGTCACAGGTTGAGAGCTACACTGAAGATGTTGCAGTGTATGACAGATACAGGTAAATATTGTGGTTATTTATCTATCTCTTTCATGTTCTGAATGCACGATTTAAAGATTAAGCTTTAATTTTGTTATTCTTAATAGCAGAATGTTGATAAATATGAATAAGGTTGATAAATACTGCCAATGTGGCAAGGAGTCAGCAGCTTTGAAGTTTGTAATAAGGTTTCTTATTAGTTAATTTACAGATTTTTTTGTTGGTGGATGAAAAAACCCAATCCAAAACACTTTCCAAATTCTTTTGTCTTTTGTGAAAACAATTAGTTGGTTGGTATCGAACTCTGACAACTGAAACTGGAATTACCACTCTTGGGAAGAAGAGCATATCCAATAACCTCCCGTGTCTCGGTATAAAAAATGTTAATGTTGGGGTTCACTTCCCTGTGGGACAGATAAAAAATAGACACAGTATACTGACTCCGAGCTGACAGTCATTATTTTAGCCCCTAGATGCCCAGCGCCAGACGGGAACAACAAGTACCATTTTTTAACGTCTTTTGGTATGTCACAGCCAGGGTTCAAACCCAGTACCGGTACCTTCCGCTCTCTGGTTTTGTGATGAAATGATGGGTGAGAGCTGTGGCGGGGGGTTCAAAAGAATTGATTTTCTCCAACCAAAATGATATTATTCAACCAAAAGTGCATATTACTTTCTCATTAAGGCATAGGACTGTCTGTTTAAGTGACCATTGTTTATCTTCAGTTGCATTTATAATATTCTTCAAACAATAACATCAAGAGAGCAAAATAGATTATAACTTAAGTATTGAATTGATTTTATAATGGCAATAGCAATGGTTATGTCATACCATTGAATGTTATTCATTAACATGCACCATACCATACAATAATTTTCTATTAAGACTTTTGTTAATTATCCTCCGCCCCAACGAAGTTGGCGGGGGATATTGAAATGGGTTCCGTCCCCGTGCGTCGGTGCATCCGTGTGTGCATGTCCCAAAATCGGTTCCGGAGCATAACTCAGAAACCGTTAAATATTTCTCTATGAAACTTTGCATGTCTATCAGACTCATGAACTGGTGCCTTTTGCTATTTAGGAATGTTAGAAATTTTTATTTTTTACGTTTCCATGGCAACAAATTGGACTTAGGTTCTATAAGGGTGGTGTTCATTTCCAGAGCATAACTCAAAAACTGTTAAATACTTTCTTACAAAACTTTGCATGTCTACCAGGCACATACTGAACTGGTGCCTTTTGCTATTTAGGAATTTTATAAATTTTCATTCTTTATGTTTCCATGATAACAAGTTGGACTTAGGTTCTATAAGGGTGGTGTTTGTTTCCGGAGCGTAACTCAAAAAACGTTAAATACTTTCTTACAAAACATTTTTTACTTAGTGATAAGTGTCTTCAATGGGGACAAGATTTTTTTAAAATCTACTGATGTTATATGAATGAAACTTTGCAAGCTTATCTAAGAGAATCTTAACATATCAAGAGTTCGAAAATTGGTGCCATGATTTATTTATTCCAGCCAAGGGACCCTTCGTTCGTATTGATTTCTAATCTGAACAGATTTTCTAAAATTTTCAGATAACATATGAAGCCATCCTTGTGCTTATGACTTCTTAAGGCTGTCCCTTCAGCACATCTGAAATCTATGATCGTCGGGTTCAAACCCAGATCACTCTGATTTTCTTTCTAGGTTTCTCAGCACCATACCCGTGCTCATGGATTGCAACACATTAAGGTTACAACAAGGTGGTATAACGGGAATATTGTTCAAAGAGGTGTTAAACCAAACTCACTCATTCCGGGAGGATAGTGATGATGCTGTTTTCTTGTTTAAAGATTGGGTTTAACTTGCTAACATGGCAATGCATAAATATTCTGTTAATAATCAGGTGTATTTTCTCCAAATTTGAGTTTATTTGAAATTAATTCAGCTTTGAATACTTGGGTAATTCACAATCATATTCCATTTCTCTTACATGCCCCAACATAATTATGTGACAGTCATCCAATAGGATTAGCACAAAATTTGATTCTGCAATATTTCATCGTGTTAACCTATTTTATCTCTTCTTGGTCCTAATTGTTTTTTGGGATTTTCATAATTCTTATCATAAATAATAATTAATAATAATCTTTCTGCTCTATCAGCTGGTAATTCAGGTGGATACTATTCCCCCTGCAAGAAATTTCATCTTCAGTCATTCTTGAGAGCTGTGGTGGGGGTCTAATAGAACCCCAAATTGCATTTATTTTCTTTATTTTCTCCAACCGAAAGTGATATTATTCAACCAAGAGTCTGAGTGCATATTACTTTCTTATCAAAGCCCCACCCTGACTATAAATAGCCTGCAAGGTGGCAGTGTTTCAGTTTCTTTCTGTTCAATCCGAAATTGACATATATTTGAGTAGTTTATATCCAAGCTCTACACTTTATATTGAAGTCTTGTTTGGGGATGAACCAGTAGATGCCCTTGGCATCTTACCAGGTTTACGTCTTAATTGGCTTGAAAACATGAACGTCAACATTATAGTATTTTTATACAGTCAGGAAGAGTGCACTTTTATTTTAAAAGCCTTGAAGGGTCCGAGTTATAGCCAGGATCATTTTGCTTACTAAGGTATTTATGCCATATAATATACATCTGATGAGCTGGATGTATAGTCTCAAGACATTGTCAATCAATCATTTAAAGACTTGTATAATATAATATTTTTTATTGTCGGTTTATATCTGATGAAGCATCTGAAAAGATGACTGTTGATGGATTTCGATTACATAAAATAAGTGAAATAAAACATCAAATAGAGAAAGAACGTGATTCTAGAATTGGATCATATAAAAAGTACCGCAGAGCTGTGAATGCTCTTGACAGAGTTGACACTACACTTATAGCGGCCTGTCCTCATTTCGCCTACACCTCATTTCGCCTACACCCTTATCAAAACAAATTTACAGCTGACTGCACATAAGTCAAGTGCTGTGTTACCTCTAAAATAATGAAGTGCCCCAAAAGAAGTTTAACAGACAAGACAATCTTGAAGGTTCATACATTGTTTAATAGCTGATATTTACATTATGCAGTAATAATAATAATGACTCATGATTACTGGAGAAAGTTCAGTACCAGTTCTGGTTCCTACTGTGTCCTTCAACAACCTAAATAGTCTAACATATGTCTGTTTGGTCTTGTGAGGAAGCAACGAAAAAGCAACAGGATACATTTTACCATTTACAAGACAATGAATAATATACACTTGGAGCCACAAGCTAGGACAAAAAAAAAAGTACCATCCATAAACAAACTGTCAGAGTCACTCATGATTTCTAACATCTCAGTGGTAGCAAACACCAGTAGTCTGTCGTCTTCCCCGTCATTGATGCACAGAAAGTCTCTTCCATCTTCTGTCTGTGTCCACGTTCCTTCCAAGTTGACTGCTTCTCTGGTTTCTGGAACTTGTGGAATAGTCTTGGCTCTGTTTCTGTACAGGGAAGCTTGAACACTTGCAAAAGAAGGGTCAGTCGCAGCTACTTCTTCATCATAGGTTGTAAAAACTTCACTTTGAACTTCTATGCCGCTTGGATTAGATTAGAGCTTGGATTAGTTAACAGCCTGGGATGGACAATGCCCATTCATATAATAGGGGTGAGGCAATTAAGCATTTGAATTATTGTAGGCGAAATGAGGTGTAGGCGAAATGAGGGCAAGCCCTTATAGGAGCTAGCATGGGGCTTGGTGCGGCTGTTGTTGGTTTATTATCAACTATAAACGCTTCACGTATCGTACTTCGTATGGAAATAGCAGATGGAACTCTGGACTGGGAGGAATAGCTCCTAAATTTATTCTCATAAGTTGCAAAAGAAAGCACTAAAACATGATAGTATTTGTGTGTAGGCTGAAGCAAAGTTAAATAGCCTTAGAGGATCATACCTCAACAGCACTTGCTGATTACAAGATATCTGATGAGTTTTGTTTCGTGTTGTCAGAACTCACCATTGGCACCATACATGACAAACTACCGGCTAATGATCCTCATCACATAATTCGCATAAACTTAAGACCCCCATAGAAGCACTGTCAGGGTCTTAGCATGGTCCAGTGGGAGTTGCAGCGGTACCCCCATCATCTATACTACTGCAATAGCATAGAACTGGCCTAGGTTACATAGGTCCTGCCCCATAGATCCTGCCCCTGTCGCAAAGTATGTGCACATTTTGTGTCATGAACAGTTTATTGTTGGGACAGGCATGAAAACAATTTTTGATAATTTCATTGCTAAATGGTGTTTTCAGACTGCGGTAATCAAGAAAACTGAGAATTTTAAGTTTTTTTCTATTTTCTTCATTTCTATAAACCAATTTAAAAAATGAATAATAAAACACCTTATGATGTTTAGCTTGATTATGATTGATAACCTGACTGGAAATGTGTGTTACCCACATTTTTCAAGTTGATGGATATCACGACCCACTGAATGTCTTTGCCAACTCATCAGCAGAAGGGGAAAAGTCTAAAAACTGAGTGGACACACAATTATTGGTGTGGGGTCAGCAGTCTCTGTCTCTGTGTCTCAAAAGGTGGTATGTTTGCCACAACATACTTCCAGTTGAGCCTTTGTTCGTCTTGTGGATGGTTGTAGGTATATGTGATGACTGTTTTTCAGGTGGTATGCAGGGATTGGTCTGACTTCAGTCATACTGCTCATAGTGTTACTCTTATTCCTTGGCCTAACTTGTGGTGTATGTGGCAGCAGTGCATCCAACCTTCCCACAGAACGAGGTTGTCTCTCTAATTGTGGAGGAAATCTGCTAATGGGGTAAGCAAGAAAACCTTTTTATTAATATTTTGGTGTTATAATATACATTATATTTTGCCTGATTCAAGGTGGGCACCTGTTGTAGAGAATAAGTACTGCCTTAAAAAAACCTATTACCAACAACTATTTTGTGAATTTCAAATATGTTTCCTGATTCTAAATTAGATGTTAAAAGGACACTAATCTCTGGCTTCTTCTGGGCTGTCTAACACCACCCGTTAGGGCTCACTTGCTGCCATTCTCACTGAGCGTGACAAGAGACTGGGCTACAGTCTGCAAGGACAGCTAAATAAACTTGGAGGCAATATTTGTTTGACCCATTTTTGAACACTGATTGATTACCCGTGATCTATGAAGATTTCGACAAAGGGTGCATGTTAATTAATTTTTTCAGCCTAAACAAACAGAAAAAAAGAACGTTGGAAGCTCATCAGATGTTGTTATTTGGAAATACCCCTGATGGTTATAGTTTAATAATTAAAAAAATAGAATCCATGCAGTGAAAACATTTTCAGATTTTGGATTGCGAGGATAATACAATTGCTATCTCTTGTTGTCATCCATGTTTCCTGGTATAACAGCGTTAGAAATTGGCACTAGTCCTGTAGTCCTTGCCAAACTGCCCAATACTGGGTAGTTGAGGTATCATAAGGACTAGTAAAAATTTGTCATTTCTTAGGGCTTTGCTACATGTTATCATTGTAAGGACTAGTGGACTGAACATGTTAGTTTCTACTGCTGTATAATCATACATCTGTGTATTTTTTGTCATTCACTTGATGCTCAGTTAATGAATTCATTACAGGTATAATTAGTGGTAGTACCACTCAGATTACCTGACAAAGTTTCCATTTGGCATTTCTTGTGTCTTCGATGTGAGACAGATGTTGTTTTCACAAGTCTTTACCTTTGTAAGCGTGTATATGTTACAGTCAATGTGTAAAATGTGATTCACTCAGGCAATTTATGAAATGTCTAAATATTTCAGTCCTTTTACAAATTGACTGAAATATATGTCCTTTTATTTAACAGATTGTATAAAAATGATTAAGATGTTCAAAAGGGCTTAAAACATCACAATAGACTAATTATGCTAGGATTAGAAGCCAAAACTATAGAAATGAACTTTGAATTTCATTTTCTTTTAATCCTATCATTTTCAGTCACTGGGTGATGAAATTAAAACATAAAAATGTTTGGAATTCGTCATCATAATAACATAAATGGACAGATTTTTCAGTCAATTTGTAAAATAACTGAATATTTAGGCGTTTAATAAATTGCCGAAGTGAAAATTTTACACATTTTAAATATAAAGATATACACAAGATAAAATAAGCAATCCTAAGGTGAAATAGTTACTTTGTGTTGCAAGTCAAAATAGTGTAAACAAAAATTTCACATTACCAAGCATGTGACTGATCAAAACTTCGTCACCATTACCAATGCTACCCACAAAGATACCTACATTTCCTTATTATTTACAAGACAAAACTGTATTTCATTTGTTGATCAGTGTGACCATATGCCCTTAAACTGTCAATAAAAGCGACAAAAGCGCTTTTGAATGGTGCAGCACAGGTTGCCAACTAGTCTAGATTTCTGCTATCAACCATGGTGTACCATTGTCAGACCATGGAATATTCTGAAAAATGACATAGTTATTGCTGGGGATCAATTGCTTTAATGGCATAACATACCTTAGAGTATCAAGTACCAGTGGTGTAATTACTATCTAAAACCATGTTGATGATAACCTGTCAAAAAAGTACACATTGTGCAAATAACATATTCCCCTTTAGTGTGAAATTATAACACAAACTCATGCACTGAAAACAGACTGTTAAGAACATGAAGACTCAATTTTATCCCCCCTGCATATAATGCGGGGGGATATAGTGATCAGCCAGTCCGTCCGTCCGTCCGTAATCATTTCCTTTTCCGGGGCAGAACTCGAAAACAATTCAGTGTATTTGATCGAAACTTGGCATATCTATCAGTCACATACTGAAGTTGTGCCTTTTGCTAGTTAGGAATTTTAGAAATTTTTATTATCCCCCGCCGCGCAGAGCAGGGGATATAGTATTCACGACCGTCCGTACGTCCGTCCGTACGTCCCACCTGTTTGTTGCCGCGATATCTCAAGAACTAAACACTGGATTGTCTTCATATTTGGAACTATGGTGTATATACAGACTCCGCGGACACCAGTCGGTTTTGGTGACCTTGATCCCATTTTCAAGGTCACAGCAGACAAATCTGCTTTTAGAGTTGGAAAACGGTGTTGCCGCGATATCTCAAGAACTAAACACTGGATTGTCTTCATATTTGGAACTATGGTGTATATACAGACTCCGCAGACACCAGTCGGTTTTGGTGACCTTGACCCCATTTTTAAGATCACAGCAGACAAATCTGCTTTTAGAGTTGGAAAACGGTGTTGCCGCGATATCTCAAGAACTAAACACTGGATTGTCTTCATATTTGGAACTATAGTGTATATACAGACACCGCAGACACCAGTCGGTTTTGGTGACCTTGACCCCATTTTCAAGGTCACAGCAGGCAAATCTGCTTTTGGAGTTGGAAAACGGTGTTGCCGCGATATCTCAAGAACTAAACACTGGATTGTCTTCATATTTGGAACTATAGTGTATATACAGACTCCGCAGACACCAGTCGGTTTTGGTGACCTTGATCCCATTTTCAAGGTCACAGCAGGCAAATCTGCTTTTAGAGTTGGAAAACGGTGTTGCCGCGATATCTCAAGAACTAAACCTCTCGATTGTCTTCATATTTGGAACTATGGTGTATATACAGACACCGCAGACACCAGTCGGTTTTGGTGACCTTGACCCCATTTTCAAGGTCACAGCAGGCAAATCTGTTTTTGGAGTTGGAAAACGGTGTTGCCACAATATCTCAAGAACTAATCGCTGGATTGTCTTCATATTTGGAACTATGGTGTATATGGCGGGGGATATTTCGTCACTCTGTGACAAATACTTGTTTTTTACGTTTCCATGGTAGCAAGTTGGTCTTAGGTTCTATAAGGGTGGTGTTCGTTTCCAGAGCATACCTAAAAAAACGTCAAATACTTTCTTACAAAACTTTGCATGTCTACCAGGCACATACTGAACTGGTGTCTTTTGCTATTAAGGAATATTATAAATTTTTATTTTTATGTTTCCATGGTAACAAGTTGGATTTCAGTTCTATAAGGGTGGTGTTCGATTCAGGAGCGTAACTCAAAAGCTGTTAAATACTTTCTTACAAAACTTTGCATGTCTACCAGGCACATTCTGAACTGGTGCCTTTTGCTATTCAGTCCAGGGAACAATGGTCCCAGAACCGCTCGCCATTGTATTAAGGAATTTTAGAATTTTAGAATTTTTTTACGTTTCCATGGCAACAAGTTGGATTTAAGTTTTCATATAGGGTGGGTTCACTTATGGAGTATAACAAATAAACTGTTAAATATTTCCTTGCCAAACATTTCATGTCTATATATAAAGTACACACTGAACTGGTGCCATTTGATATTTAGGAGTTTTAGAAATGTTTATTTTAGAATTTCCATTGCAGCTATTTTGACGTGGGCTAAGAGAAATGTTGGGTCAGTTACCTGGTTTGGGACCATAACGTGTTAAAATGGGCAGGGGATATAGATGACTTCGTTGACTTTACGCTTGTTTAGTTATTGTTTCTTGTAATTTGTCATTTGTTTGCATAAAAAAAACCCCACAGAAACACACTTGTTTTTCTTTCCATTTCATATGGATGCGACCATGGTGGATCTTTTGTTGGTAAACAATGTATGCTTCTTAAAGAACATTCAACTCTTGACTCATTACATACAGAATTGCACATTTACTTGTGGTTACTTTACAGACAGCTGCCGGGGATATGTCATCTTTCTGATGACTCTTGTATTACTAACATTACGGTAGATTTAATTGAAAAACAATTTGATCATTTGAAGATAGATATTTGTCACTTAATATTGAATCCCTCCAAGGATAAACTATCAAAATTATATGAGAATTAACAAGTATAAATAAAACTAGAGCTATATAGTAATTTTGCTGTAAATGGCATTAGGACATTTCCATAATTTTTATCCCTTGCCAATAAGTGTGTGTGTGTGTGGCAGGATGTATAGGAACGAAGTTTATCTGTCTGTGTCTGTCAGCTTCTCAAAGGGGACACATTTTCTAAAAGATAATTCAGAGAAATTAAATTTTTACACTGTTACTGGTCATGATCTAAAATGAGTTATGGCCCTTGATCAGTGCTTTTCAACTTAGTGCGAAATGCATGAAATGGGGACAGTTTTTCTCAGAAACTAATGAAGTTAAGCCCTGGATCCATGTTATTTTACTGGTGCATAGTTTCTGCAAAGAGGACAAGTTTTCTCAGTCACTTGTACTGAAGTTAGTTTATCTAAGAAATACTTATCACTGGTTATTTTTTCCTGAGGGGCCTTTTGTGTATATTAATTTCACATTTAATCATTTTTTCTGGTGACATAAACAGCTACAGATCAGCTACATATTTGTGCAAAATATTTGTGCAAAATATTCAAAACCCAAATACTTTCAATTAACTTGTGTACAGAAACACACGATTAAATGAAAAACTAAAATGTATAGAAATAGCATGCATAAATAAATACCCAGTGAAGCTTTTTCAGCATGCTTACAACAGCTTATTTCTAAAACACAATTACGAGCTAAATTACTTTCCTAGTCAGGCCTGTATTTAGAACCGTTATATACATCTAAAACATTATTTTTATTTTCTTTGAAATCTCAAAATGTGTACTCATTTGGGGAAAAACCCAATAGAGTGATGAATAGATGAAGGAAAAAATATATGTTACACAATGAAAAATTGAATAACCTAATTAAAATAGAAACCTTTGAGGAAAAACTCAATTGCTCAAATACTTATCTGGAGCTCTGCATAAAGTGGCCCAAGTTCCTGTCACTTATTAAGGC